TTTTTTTTTACAATCTTATAGAAAGCAAATCAATGGAATAAAACTACAAAGCAACAAGAGAAACTACAGTACACAGATATATAGATTGAAAACACACAAAAAAAGAAAACATATCACTGAGTAAGAAATGGGTCACTGAAAAAAAAATACATAATTAAATAAAAAATTAAAACGTAACAGTCCAAACCCTCTGGAATACAATAAAAGAAGTCCTCAGAAGAAAGTTTATATCTATAAGTGCCAAGTAAATAAATACATCAGAGAAAACTCAAATTTAAGTCATGATGCACCTGAGGGCTAGTTATAGAAAAACAAAAACAAGCCAAACCCAAAAGTAGTAGATGGTAAGAATTAAGATCAGGGCAAAAACTAATGAAATGAAAACTAAAGAAACAATACAAATAATGAGTAAAACAAACGCTGGCAAATTCATTTTATGAAACCAGCATTACTCTAATAATAATGTCAGAGAAGGCAGAACACAAACAGACCACTGTCTCTGATGAACACAATTGAAAAATTCTCAGTACAATACTTGCAAACTGAATTCAAGCACACAGAAAAGATCATTCCCCATGATCAAGCTAGCTTCATTCTAGAGATGCAGGGATGGTCAACACATGCAAACCAACATTGTACTTCACCATATAAATTGACTCAAAGACAGAAAGCATATGATGTTGAAAAAGACATCCCACGATAAAAGTTCTAAGGAGACAAGAAATAGAAAGGACATATTTTAACACAATAGAGACTACATAGCACACCTACAACATAGCCAACATCACAACACATGGAGAAAAATTCAAAACATGTTGACTAAAATCAGGAACAAGACATCTTTCTCTACTCTTTTGTAGAGTACTCAATATGGTACTTGAAGTCTTAATTAGAGCAGTATGACAAGAGAAGAAAATGAATGGAATACAAATAGGAATGGAAGAAGCCTATGCATCCTTATTTATAGATGAAATGATTCTATGTATAAGAGATCCTAAAGATTGCAATGGAAAATTCTTAGGTTTGATGAATAGTTTTTACAAAGAATCAAGAAACAAAATTAATATACAAAATCAGTAGTCTTCCTAGATATCAATAACAAACACACTCACAAAAAATCAGGGAAATAATCTCATTCTAATTGTTTTAAAGAATACCTTGTAGTTAACCTGTATAAAGAAAGATCTCTACAATAAAAGCTACAATATTAAAGAAAAAAAAAAACCTGAAGAGAACATCAAATAGAAAGACTTTCCCTGCTCACAGATTAGAAGAATTAATATTGTGAGGGCATAGTAGGAAAAATTCTTGCTTGGCATGCATAAAGCCTGAGGTTCCGTCCCCAATATTAACAAACAGAAAGAAGAAAGGAAAGAAAGTATGCAAGATGGCTAATACTGTAAAAAGGCTATACTATCCAAAGCAATCTACAGATTCAGTGTAATCAGCACCAAAATGATGCAATACTATTTAAAATGTATTTTTTAAAAAAAATCTTAAAACTCTTAGCCCAGCTGTGGTGGTGCACACCTCTAATCCCAGCATTACTTTTATGAAAGTTCTAAAGACTACAGGAGAGAAATTCTTCCAATTAAGAAAACAAAACAAAACAAAAACAATGAAAATAATGCTAGATATGCCACCATTCATGCTTTCAAGTTATACCACAGAGCCATCATAACAAAAACAGCATGTACTGTCAAAAAGAGGAACACAAAGAAAACCCGGAGAGAAACCAACACAGCTTCAGTTGCATGATCTGATGCAGATGTCACTGGGGGAGGAGTGGGTGGATAGATAAAAGCAGATCCTGAGGGTTCACAACCAATCAAGTCAAACAGGGGCCTCAAGTTGGTTTCAAAAAATAAAGCAGATAACATAAACTCTTCCCCCTCTAGCACAGGTGCACAACCACCAAGGCAGGGGCTTTAACAGGACTCTACTCACTTAAGAAAGTAATTCAAACAGATGACAAAAGAAACCTAATGAAAGTAAGAAGTTTCTTCACAGAAAAGCAAATAGTTAAGTGAACAGAATCTACCAAATACGAGAAAATATTTGCTATCTAACTGACACAGGAATAATAGCCAGAATATATAAAGAACTCAAAAAGAAAAACCAAACAAAAAGACAAAGAACCCAATCAATAAAAGACTAATGAAATGAACAGACAAGATGAGAGAGCAGTGCCCATTATATAATAAAAAAATGTTCAACCTAAACTAGCTATCAGAGAAATGCAAACTAAAACCTCACTTCCCATCTCATTCTAGTCAGTATGACAGTAGAAAAAAAGAGTAACTGTTGGACAGAGTGAAGCACACATTTTATTCTAGCTCTCAGGAGGCAGAGGCAGGTAGATCTCTGTGAGGTCAGCCTAGCCAGAGCTACACAAAATAAAGAGAAATAACAACAGTACCATCAATCAATCAATAAATAAAGTAAATAAATAAATAAATAAATCCCCCAAACCTCTGCTGGCAAGGATATGGGCAGAGGAAGCTGTCACATGCTGCTAATCGAATTGTAAAACGGCCCAGCCACAATGAAAATCAGCATGGAGCTTACACACAAAACTGAACAGAGCTACAACAAGACTCAGCTATATCACTTCTGGGTGCCTAACCACAGGACTCACATTTTATGAACATTTACTATGGCACTATTCACAAAGCTAAATTAAAAATCCAATTCAGGTGTCTAACATCAGAAAAATGGATGAAGAAAATGTGGTATATTTACAACATGAAAAGTTCTAACCAAAAACAGCAAAGTATGTCATTTGCAGAAATACATAAGTAACTAAGATAAATGTATCAAGTGAACTACCACAAGCTCAGAAAGACAATACATTTTCTCTCATTTATCTGTCTATACAAAATATAGAAAATAGAAATGAAAGTGGAGGTGCAACTGCTAAAAAGCACAAAAGTGCTAAAAGGAGGAGAGGTGGGAGAAAGGGGAGAGTGAGGAGGCAAGGTAGGGAACACACTCAAAATATCACCTATACTAATAAAAAAATGTGTTTATGTACCACAATAAGATACATAGTACCATGAATACATAAAATAAAATGTTAAAATTATAATGGAAATGTAAGGGAGAAGTATCCATTAGTTTTCTGATCAGAAACACCCTGGCCACTAGCTTTTAGATAACAAAGACCCAAAATAATAAGTGAGTATCCACCAAACTGAAAAATTTGTAAGCTACTGATCACATACAATGTACTAAGACATTAGTACTAAACATTACTCACCGATTCTTTCTCTACAATTCGGTTTAACATGACAACTGCTTTGGTCTTTTGCTGCCACACCATGAGCCAGAAGTGGCAACATGTGTTAGGAAGTGGACCCTGTAATAACAGAACAAGAGCACATCAAGGAAAGGAGCTAGAAAAGAACAAGGCTTCAAAGATGCTACTGTGATGCACTGTTATAGCCGGTGGATTAGGTCAGGATAAGTAAATCAAGACTTTAAATGCACTTAAATTCAAAATATAGTCTGCATTCAACAAAACTTTTCCTCTAGGTAAAGACATTTTATTTATTTATTTATTTACTTACTTACTTACTTATGCAGAAAAAGAACTGTACGGGACACCTGGTATCTTTCAAAGTTAAGAGTTAGATAACTAGGTTCAAGTAATAATTACAAAATACAGGCAAGATTTTGCCCAAACAGAACCAACCTAGTTCATTGCTTCTGATCCTGTCATGTTATATGGCTTTCTTGGCATTACCAAATGTGTCTACAGTACAACACGTAGGATGCTCATGTTCTAGCTAATAGGATGTCAGAAAAGGAAATTTGTCTTTCAGTCTTTGTAACTGACAGGTGTGGATCTCATACAGATCATCAGGGGTTCTTTGGGAAATGGGGAAGTTTATGTCATTACTGACCAACCAACCAGCTCAAGTGAACACAACAGAATTTGCAGGGGATAAAAAGGTAATCATGAAACTCCCTACAAATCAGTTTGTTGAGCCTAGTATCATCTGGCAGAATTAAAAAGTAAACAATAGCCCATATTACAAAATGCGATAAAGGAGGACAAATCAAATACACACTTCCAATTACTTTTACATTTGTCTTAATGATAGCCTAGGGTTAAAAAAAAAAAAAAAAGACAAGCAATGAAAAGGCATGTCCAGACTATGACTTCCTTCCTTGCTTTGTATAGGGCTAGAGATGTAACTCAGGGCCTCGTGCAAGCTGAGCTCTACCACTGAGTGAAGGCTAAAACAGAGTAAGTTCCAGAGTAAGTGCCTAAGGTAACTGTAAACATGTAACCACCTTCCAGAGCATGTGGCGAATTTTTAAGTGTCAGGAGCAGGGAAGACCAGAGCTGCAGCCTCCGCTATCCCTGACCCCCAACACCCAGCTCCGGAACTCAGAGGTAAAATAGTTCTACACTGAAATCATCTTTAGGGTAGATGTATTTCTTGGTGTACAGCCAATACTCAATATTACACAATACCATATTCCTTAAGTGAATTACTCTAAAGTTAACCTGTAAAAATGATAGAAATCTGAGAAATTACAACTTTAGTTAATAGTTAAAGGACACTATTCTCTTCATTCAATGTACGTTATTTACTTACATTATAAAATATAACAGTTGAAAGGTGAGAAAACAAACATCATCCTCCCTGCCATAAAACAGCAATGTGAAAATCCCCAGTAAAATGAATGCCTTTTTCTTTCATCTTAAAAAAAAAAAAAAATCAGAGGTCCAGTTGGTGATGCACACCTTTGATACCAGAGAAGGAAGGGTCTGTGTAAGCCCAAGGCCAGGCAGGACTACATAGTGAGATCCTGTTTTAAAAAACAAAAGCAACAACCATGAAGTAGGACTATAAAGATGGCTTGGTAGTTAAGAGCCCTTGTTCAAAGGACCCCACAGGCTCACGGTTACCTGTAACATTAGCTCCAGGAGATTTGTCTCTCTCTTCTGGCCTCATTGGGAACTTACATACAGGTGACACACATATATAAAAATACACACAGAGAGAGACACACCAAGGGGCTGAATCAAGAAAAAAGTTCTAAAATTCAGGGGAAAGCTAATCCATAAGCAACAAGGAACAATCAGAGCACTGTAGGTAACCAGCATTAAATGTCACAGGTTTTCTCTCTCTGTCTAAGTAGCATGTTATACACAGATGAAGTCTCAGCCCTACAAAATGTACACTGAGGGACATCACTACCATCAAATACTAAGGTCTGATGTTGTAAGAAAGCCTGAGGAGGTAGCTAAAAAGCACAGCCAAAGGAACATGAGTCTGTCAGAGAGGTGATATGAAGACAGAGGCAGTTAAGAGTAAGGAAAAGTACGTAAGAACTAGGGCCCGTGGTAGAAGTGGGGGCACACAGTAATGAATCATGCCTGAAGAGTAGGCAGAGCTGGTGGCAAGGAAACAGCTTACAATGCTGCATTTTGTTGCATGTTGAACTAAGCATCTCTGAAAAGGTCAGGGTAGCAAACTGGGAAAAATACACAAGGACACAGAACGTAAGTCAGAAGAAATAAAACTAGACACAAATTGCTAAATCCTCACACTCATGTATGAAGTCCTGTCTATCATTACATAGAAAAACAGTCCAACAGGGACAAATAATTAAAAATCATAGAACTGTTCATCAGGAATTTTTATCAGGAGATTTTAGATGCTTTAAAATGGATCACTAGCCCAGGTAGTGGTGATTAAGATTAAAGCATCTTAGCACTCAGAAGGCAGAGGCAGGCAGATCTCTGTGAGTTCGAGGCCATTGGTCTACAGAACAAGTTCCAGGACAGCCACACAGAGAGCTACACAGAGAAACTGTGTCTTGAAAAACAGAAACAGCAAAAAAAAAAAACCCAAAAGAATCACTAATTCCATTATTACTATTCCTAATAAAATCTGAAACAAAAACCCACTGTGGGTGGCGCCACCCAAAGAAAGCAGGCTAAGCCACCCATGTTGCTTTTGGTCATAGTATTTCATCATAGCAATAGTAACCTGAACTAAGACAATGAGTTTTCACAAAACACCACACTACAGATGACACACAGATAGACAGACAGAACTTATGACTATATGATTTAATCACATTCTTCCTCTGTAACATAAGATAATAGCATTTGACAGAGTGACTGTTCAAAGATAAATTATACAAAGACAAATTACACAGGTGTGTATCACCACACCTGTAAATGCAGCAGAAGCAGGCAAATCTCTGTGAGTTCAAATCCAGCCTGGTCTACAGAGTCCAAGACAGCCAAAGCTACACAGAGAAACCCTGTCTCCAAAAACCAAAAACTAAAGACAAAAAAAAAAAAACAAAAACAAAAACAAAAACAAAAAACCTACTTAATTAAACAAAGAAAAAAGATATACAAGCATGTTATTATGTTTTATTCTTTTATGCATGGACCTGAGCGTGTGCACGTGGATGTGCACCGCATCACTGAGTACAAGTCAGAGGACAGCTTGAAGCATTGCTTCTTTGGACTATGTGGGTCCCAAGGACTGAATTTAGGTTGTCAGGCTTGGCAGGAAGCACCTTTACTTACTGAACCACCTTGCCAGCCCACAAAACTTTTAATTCTTTTTTAAAACAATTTTACTTCTCATTAGAATGCAAATGTTCATAGTGGTAAGGGGATTTGTCTATTTATTTAGAAATAAGGTCGATGAATTGAGACTGGCCTTGAACCTCTGATCCTCCTCTGCCTGGAATTACAGGCATGCATTACCAATTACCATGTTTGTTTTCTTTTTTTGTTTGTTTGTTTTTTTTAAAGAAACCTGTTTTATTTGAGCAGTGACTATCAGTTCTCAATCTTTGTATGAATGAAGGTCAATTAAGTGTTATCAGCAGGATTTTGTCCAGATTCTGTTAGAGTAGAGCACACCCCACCTTAGGTTTCAGAGATTGAGAACTAAGGTCCCAGACAGGAGGTATAGGTCAGACATAACAGCACTCACATCACGTGTGTAAGGTCCTTATGCCCTAACCTGTCAAAAACAAGCATAGTAACAAACCATGGTCCCCAAAAATGAAGTGTAGATGTGGGGACAACTAAGAGAAACTTATGAAAGACCTGTCTTTAGGGACTAGAAAAGGAGAATGAATAGCTGTGTTAAGGGGTAAGCAACCATCTGTTCCGGTTTAGGTGTGAAATGTTCCACCTTGGGCTCATGTGTTACAGGTCTGATGTCACCTGATGTCCTTTTGGGAGAGCTCCAGCCTAATCAAAGGCTAATCTGCTGGTAGGTTAACATGGCAGCACTAGGAGGCAGCACTAGGAGAAGGAGGCACAACACTGGGGAATGCCCTTGTCACACAGCTCTTTGTGTGTCCTGGCTGCCGCAATATTCTGCCTCACATTAGACCAGAGGCCAAAATAAACAGGTTTTTCCTTTTAAATTTCCCTTCAAGCATTTGTCACAGCAATGAGAGCCTAATACAACATGCTTTTCAATATTTTTGTGTTCAATTTCAATAGAAAGTAAATTTCCAGCTCTGTATATTGATTTTTTTTAAATTCTAAATGATTATGATACATAAGAAAAACTTCAGTTACTATGTAACAGCAAAAAGCTTACAATCCCCATCCCATTAATTACTGCTACTAAAATGTATGTGTATGATTAATTCATCCAACCCATGGCACTCCTCTGTGAAATTAAAGTTGAATAACACACTTTCATGTCTGTTGGATTTCTCAGGTCATTTCTCAAATGGATTATGACCACTGACTAATAAAATACATACTTTACTTAGTGGTTTATTTTCAATTCACTGCATGAAGAAAATCATACTAGGTCTGAGTTACAGAGGACTCCAAGTGATTCACATTATAAAAGCTATGAGGCTATTAAACTTGTGGCAATAGTCAGAGGAATGCTCACTGCAAAGAAATCCTCACTTGAGCTTTAGTAAGCATCAGGCACTTAGAAAAGCAGGAACTTTGAGCTTGTTATTCTTAACCAGCGCACGCTCCTGCACTGGCCGCAGTGCCGCTGGACCCTCCACATCCCGAGTGTTTAACTGCAGCACGCTGCAGGCAAGTCTGATTCATAACGCAGTGTGTGGCCACCAACACTAGCGACCCAGGAGTGGCAGCGAGGGTATCCCTGTTAATTCTCTGTTGTGTCCTGAGTGCCAGCAGGGAGCAGCTTATCACTCTCATTTAGATCAACACAGGGGTCAAGAGAGTAAGTTCTCAATGGAATTATACATACTCCTTCTCCTAGGTATAAACTAGCTACAGAATGTGACTGTAAGAGAAGGAAGGTTAGGACCACATGACAGGATAAGATCTGAGGATCTAAAAGGGAGGAGGTCTGAGGTAAAGGTTCCTGGATCCTTGCTGGAGGCTTGGTGCCTGGGCCCACTTTATACTGTGAAAAACCACAGCATCTTTTCAAATGCAGACTGTCTTTCTTTTGTTCACTGAACTGTGAATTGATATACTTAACAGGTTTATGCCAGACTGTTTTATCCTTTTTTGTTACTGGAGCTACTTTACTTCAAGTGAAATATTTTGTTTCTCTGACAGACAAAATTCTAATGGCTCACAGGTACATTAGGTTGAACTTAAAAACCAATTGCTTCACACTTTTCTGTCTTTCAAAAAGCAGGTTACATTAATCTGTTGGGTTATTTTGTTTTGTGTTGTTTTTTTAATCTCAAATGTAGGGGCTGGAGAGATGGCACTGACTGCTCTTCCAGAGGGACAGAGTTCAATTCCCAGCACCCACATGGCAGCTCACAGCTGTCTCTAACTTCAAAATCTGGCACCATCACACAGATTTAAATACAGGCAAAACACCAGTACACATAAAATAAAAATAAATAAATTATATTAAAAATCTCAAACATGGTGCTACAGATACAGTGAAGGGCACTTGCTTCTCTTCCAGAGGACCAGAGTTCAGTTCCCAGCACCCATGTAGTATGGCTCACAACAGCCTGCAACTCCAATTCTAGGGGACACCATCTTTTGACCTCCATGGGCACATGTATACACATGTTACACATGTATACACACAAACACAGATACATACTAATAAAATACAACTTAAAACTCAAATATTATAGCTATACTTCTGAACATTTTTGATTAGGAGAAATGAAGTGTTGGTTGCTGTTTGACTTCTCTTATTTGATAAAGAGAAAGCTGTCAGAATAGAAAAGCAGTGCTTTCCTCAAGGAGGTTGCTGTTTCGAGCCACTGGGGGAGAGTGGCAAAGGCAGCCCAGCAGAACTGTACTTTACTAGGCTCCACAGATGGTTATACCTTATCCTCAGCATGGCTGCACTCTCTGAAAAGATGTTCACAGGGTAGAGATGGATAGAAAAGGGCTTTCAGGACTTCCCTGGTTCTTCATCACTAGAGAAAGAGAACTCCAAGCTACTGACAGAACAGTAACAAAAGCTATGTGTATACAGTTAATTTACCTTAATAGAACGGCACCAACCCATTTCAGAAGGATTTTTCTCCATCAAACATAGCAACATTAGGAACAATTTTACTTTTTACCAATATACCCAAAGTCTCAAAACTATGACATCTACAACTGATTACAGAATCAGAAAACTAAAAATAGCACGTTATTTGCAAATGTTGAGATATACTTTTAGCTATGTTTAAAGTACAGCAGCCAAACTCCACTTTCCAGGCATCTGCTCAGCATCACACTACTTGCCTGTGTTAAGATGTAACTTCTTTGTGCCTCTTCTATGTCAACTAAGCTGGCATTAATATAATCATTTTCAGTATTTTGCAGTTTAACACGACTGTGATCATCTGAAAGTAGAGAATGATAAATCATAACTGTCATTTCAACTTTTCCATCACTTTTTATTTGAATGTTAATATTCTAAGGTAGTTATAGATGATAGGAAAAATAAAACATAAAATAATACCAAATAAGAGTTGAGACAAATCCTAAATTACCTACTTCTTTTTTTTAAAACAAGGAGGTTAAAACACAGTCTTATTACTGGGTATGAGAAAGGAAGTGCTCCTGTTCCTACTCCACCATCTACAGTAACATGAAAAATTGACCAGGATGTGCAGTAAAATGAGTAAAGCACTTACCTTCTTGGAAAAGTCATCTCAAGTCTCAGTGCCTAGGAACTGAGCATCTATGTGTGAAAACATGACTGGGGGGGGGTGGGGTAGGTGACACACGCCTTTAATCCCAGCAGTCAGGGAGGCAAAGGCAGGCAAATAACTTGTACCTTCAAGGCCAAGGCCAGCCTGGTCTACAGAGTGAGTTCCAGGACAGCCAGGGCTACCCAGAGAAACTCTGTCTCAAAAAGCCAAAGAAGAAAAGAAAAGAAAAAAACCAAAGAGAAGGGGAGGAGAGGGGAGGGGAAGAGAGTGGAGAAAAGGAAAGGAAAGAAAAGGGGAAAGAGAGAGAAAGGAAGAAAAGAGAAAGAAACAGGAAGGAGGGAAGGAAGGAAGGAAGGAAGGAAGGAAGGAAGGAAGGAAGGAAGGA